GTTGTCCTTAGTACTATCATCTTTGCAACAAAGTTACAATGTAAAAAAATGCAATAAGAATCTCAAACAAAGTTCAACTAATTGTTGAATGTCGAACATGAACTTACCTTTCCTTTCCATCCTCTCCTGATAAAGAAGACACCAACTTAATCATCACCAAGTTACTTCAAACGTGTTTAAACATAGCTACCATGAATATGAAGACACCAGACAGAAACAATACCACGGCATCTTCTCTTCCATACCATCACTAAAACATTTTACCAACAATACACAAAAGTCCACTTGCAGTAAGAGACGTATAATCACCAACTCATCCCATGAACAGAGCATAAAAAAAAAAGTAAAAACATTTTTGATCGAATACCGATCTATTAATGGGGAAAAAAAGTTACAAAATCATTAATCTTCAAGTACCATTATTCATCACATAAATTCACATATTACGTAAATCAAATTTCTGCAAAACCTAGTATCATTCTTTCCAAATTTAATCTACCACCATCAAAATTTTCGATTTAACCGAAATATCAACTCACTGAATATTCCTCGTTTTCTTTTTTCCTTCAAATAGGCACGTATCTCTTCAACACTTGCTTACCAGCAACCACCGCTCCTGCCGCCAACCCACCAAGCGCACCCGCCACCGCTGCCGACCTCACCCCTCTCGCCGCCCGACAAACCGCTCCGGTCCCAAGCCCAGCAGCCACGCTACTCCAAACATCATCCCGATCAGTCGCCGCCACGATCCCACTCTCCATCCCCGCATATAACAAGCCCACCACCCCGATCCGGTTTCCCCAAGACCGACCCGTATGACCCGAACTATTCAAGATCCGATTGATTTTGAGCTTCAAAGTATCGCCTTGCTCGAAGTTCCTGAGAGCCGAGAAGAGCCCGACGGCTGCGCCGGTTATAGAGCCGCCTAAATAAGCGGAGCCGGTGTAAAAGGTTAGGTTTTCGCCCCAAGAGCGGCGTTGGTGGAGGGATTCTTCGGCAAAGAGGAACTCAGGGGAGGTTGGAAGCTTGTAAAGGTTAGTTAGGGGCCCTTGAAGGTTTAGGTCTTGGTACGGGTTGTAAAGTCGAGTGTTTGCGTCGGTTTCAGAATCGGAACCATGATGATGAGCCATGGTGAGGGTTAGTTGGGTTGTTCGAGACTTCGAGCTAGGGTTTGGTCTATGGGAGAGAAGGGTGGCTTTCTGTTTATTTTGCGGTGCTAGAAGGTGGAACTATGATTCTGCGTGTAGGTTTTGTTGTTTTTATGTTTTCTTTTTCTTTTCGTTTATTAGTCCGCTGGACCGGAAAACCGGTTTAGCAACCTCCGCCTTTTCAAAGAAGTCCTGTAAGAAAAATAAAGGAAAAGAAATCATAATTTACCCAAAAAACATTCATATACTAATCTAATTTAATCTTAAATGAGTTTAGTAAATTATGGAAAATTAAAAATTTCACAAGTTTAATTTTTTTAATGTCTTTGATAATTTATTGTAAAAAAGTTACTTAATGAATTCAGGAAAAATATATTTAAATTTCGTTTTATAAGATTGAAAAAAATTTTAATCTTTTTCTTTTATTTGAGAAATAAAAATGTCTGTGAATATAAATTATTTTACGAACAAACAAAAAAATAGTATCAATAAACGTAAAAAATGTAACAATTACATGAGTTAAAATTTTGAATAGAATAAAATTTTTAAGAAAATGAAAATCATAAAAATTTATTTTAAAAATATTAAAAGAAACAAATATATAATTAATCCCGGTTATGATTAAAGATGCATGATTTTTATTTATCTAATCATATGTTACTCCCCTAATAAATTTAAAATTAGGACTATTTTCAAAGGTACTGGTACCGCAAGGAAAGAGTCAAGAAGCATACCCAAGAAACAAAATAAAAAAGAAAATGAAAAATTGATTTAGTTACCATCGCAAAAAGCAAAAAAATTAAAAAAAAATAGCAACAGCCAAACGGTGCTTTAAATTAATATCAGCAAAGTAGAAGAAACGGCAGAACCGCGAGAATGCGGGAAATTACAGCTCTAGCACTAGCAGTCAGAATTGACCACATTTATTCTCGCCTGAGGCCATCAATTTACTTAATCTCGACCGTCCATCAATGCCGCCGGCATTTTCGTCCGGCGGTCATCCGAGCTGGGCGCAGATATCCGAACTTGGATGATTACTACCAGAAAAACGCCCGCAAGTTCTGGGATAACTTTTACAAGCGCCATAAAAACAAGGTCTTTGCTTCTTCTTTTTTTTGAAAAAAAAAATTGCAAAGTTTACTCTTTTGAGTTTTGGAGTGTGTTTAAAAAAGCGTTTTTTGAAGTTCTGTTTTGGGATAATTGTGCTATTTTCTGGAGACATCTTGGACAGACATTTGTGGGCAAGTTACATGGAAAACTCTTTTTCTTTGTGTGTGCGTGTGTGATTTGTTTCATTCCAAAAGGACAGCTTGTCCAGGACAAAGCATTTTACTTGGTTTTTGAGTTTTATTGTTATGTTGTTTTAGTTCTTTAAGGATAGGCATTACTTGGAGAAGGACTGGGGGCAATACTTCTCTGATGATGCTCATTCCCCAAATGGCAAGGTCGTTTTAGAGGTATACCTTATGCTTCATTCATTCTAAATACTGTTGTATTACCTTGCAAATGATCCCTGTTTGTTCAAGTTTAACAAGGTTTTTCATTTCTTCACCATGGTGCTTAATTTAAGCTTAGTTGCTGCTATATGTAATTGAACTGACAATCTTCTTGTGACAGGTTGGTTGTGGAGCTGGCAATACTATCTTTCCACTTGTGGCAGCATATCCCAAACTTTATGTGCATGCTTGTGATATCTCACCTCATGCAGTCGCGCTTGTTAAGGTTTTCAACCTTTGCTTACCATGAATATTTGGGACACAAATTATCTTTTATTCAGAAGTTCAAATGATCTATTTCGTGCTCTCATTGGATATTTATGGCTTGGTGGACTTACATTTAGCTTGCATGTATGCATATCATAAGATGTTCATAAAATACTATTGGGTTTGGTAATTGTTAAATTTAGAATGATGTTGAGCATGCAAAGAGGTATGCGTTGTTTCTCAGATGGTAAGGCAGGAGTACTCAAACCTTCTACTTCTTTACTAAATGCAGTCACATGTGAAGTTCAAAGAAGATCGGGTAAATGCATTTGTCTATGACGTTACGGTTGACAATCTACTTGAAAGGATTAATGTTTCTTCAGTTGATGTTATTACCTTGGTAAGAGTGGCAATTTCCAATTTGGAGGTTTCTGATCCTCCATCTGGTCACTAATGGGCTGTCAACATTTTTCTGGTTGTTGAAAGGACACTATTCATGTGCTTTGCTTGTTAAGTGCAATGCCTATATGAAAACCAACATGTTAAGCAGATTTTTATGCTGTCTGCAGTTTCTCCATATCAAATGCCCTTGATATTGCAGAACATTAGAAGAGTACTAAAGGTATATCTAAGATATTACTTATAGTGATTGTATGGATATATCCTTCACTCTAAATGACATGGGCCGCTTTGTCTGCCTGCAGCCAGATGGTTATGTTCTCTTGCGAGATTATGCTGTCGGAGATTTTGCTCAAGTAAGTTGGGTAATCAGACATCTACTCCTCTACAGTCTCATATGTCAGAGTTGTTTGATGCAAGCAGATTGTGTCATATAGTTCTTTCATTCTTACCTTGTGTGCCAACTAACATGTTTCTTCTGGTTTGCTTGGAGAGGAGCTTTATTGCGATGATTAATTTCCTTTCCATTCAAGTTACACATGGTACTCATTATAAACGAAATGACAGATCATAATCTGTTGTCCCCTGTTTTACTTGGCTGGAACCTTGATTGCTTTCAGGGCTATACATGGTTGTCTTATTCTTTTGAAACCTTTTTCTTCATTCAAGAAAGTAATTTAATTAAGAAAGTATGCATCTTTCTTCTGTTGTTGCTTGCTTTCAATTTATAAGGTGAAGCTAAAAAACAAGAATCAGATGATAAGCGAGGGCTTTTATGTACGAGGTGATGGAACTGTAAGTATGTTGTACACTACAGATTTTAGTTTTTCTTTTCATAAGCAAAACTCATCTTATTGCCTGATTCCCTATGGTTGTTAAATTCTCATCTCCAGTGTTCATTTTACTTCTCTGAAGATTTCTTGTCAACCTTATTTTTGCAAGCTGGCTTCAACACTGTAGATATGAGTACATACTACAAGCAAATCAAGAATCATCATAGGAATATAAATATGGATCGGTATGCTTAGTAGTTGATTATTGCTTAATACTTAAAGTGATCTGTCCTTATTCTTCTTGTTATCTATAAATATTTTTCTAAGCCATAAGTAAGTAAGATGTCATCTATGTTTTTTTCATTGATGGAGACAGTTGCATTCTGATTATTTCTTTTGCCAAGATGTTCCCGTGTCTTCAGCACTGTAGTGCACTTTTGCTTTAGAGATAACAGATGAGTATATGCTTGCATTTGTTCTGACCACCTATGAACTTACTAATGCGTAGCTAGTGCTTTGAATCAGATCTGCACCTCTCAATATCATGGATATAATAATGCATGCTACCATTGTCAGTTGTTGACTTTGTGCTCCGACTCTGTGTTTTCTTAATTGAATGAATGTTTTTTTTCTTTTGAAAATCAATTGAATGAATGTTGCTGGTAAGGTAGAAGAGAACAGCAAAGATTGCTGGAGGTGTCATCAAGTAGCAAAGGAAAATTATTGACAGGATGAGATGAAAGAAAATGCATTATGGAGAGTTGACATAAACTACTTGATTTATGAACCAAATTTCTAATCTTTCTGTTTTGGGAAAAAATAGAACTTGCTATACTCCAGGGAAAGGAGGCAAACTAGTTTCATTTCCTTCTCTATGCTGTTCTCTTTTGCTGGCCTTTTCAGTTTCTTCTATTCTAATCGTGATCTTCATTGCCAGGCGTTGGATACGAGCTGTTTTTAACAACTTTGGTTGATATATTGTCCAGATTTAGCACAAATTCTGCAACCCAGATGACAGTCTTATAATTCATATGCTGAATGCTCACTAATTAGCCAGGTATGAGTGTTTTGTGTCTGGGGTACGTATTCCCAACATCTGTTCACTAAAAATGTATGATAACTGAATCTTGGCCCTCCATGATGTGAGGATCTACGTGGGACCTATATGAGAACTGCATTGACCCCATATTCATGGATGGAAAAGATGTAATTATATCCAATCAATTGTGGTGGGTATATTCCCTCATTGCTCGTCTGTTGATATTCAACTCTGCATTCAACAATTGTTCTTCCCTCCTCTCACCCAAAACAAAAAAATCTTTCCTCTTGGCTATTATTGAATACATTACTAGATTACACGGTGCCTAATGTCTCCTCAAATAAAGAGATCACTTTTGAAATCCCAAGAAGTGGCATTATAGGATTAGTTCTTTTGCCCCCTCAATAATGGCTCTGTCTTCTGCTATGTGACTGCCACATAATGTTGATTTGTCCAATTGACATTTTACTGAGAAACAAATTATTGATTTTTCCAATTGAAATTTGGCAAAGTCTGCACTAGATCCGAACCTAGGAAGATATAAATTCTGCAACTGACAATTATTAGGTTCTGGATCCAATGCAGACTTTGCAAAATTTAATGATACTAATCATAATCCGCACTGTGCTAATCTTTCCTACTTTAATGATTGTCATCTCAATGTAACTCTTCTATTTGAGATCATTTTATTTGCCCTTGTTCTATTCCTGGTGAAACCACATTCCATGAAGCCAATGCTGGGTAAAAAGTTATTACTATTTATGGATCAACCATGAAAAAGTTTGAAACTCTAGGGTACATGTAAAGTCCACCATCTGTTCAGACAATCAGCCGGAAAAAACTGGGTAGGTTTCTATCAAAAAAATCATCTCCTTGAAGCCTCAGAGGTGGATCTTCCATATTGGAAAGAAAAGAAGATTTAGAATTATGAACAAGAGCTGCTCCACAGGATAATTTTAGCTACAATGAGTCCAGAAATCCCGGTCCGTTTAGACAGGATCAGGCACTGCAACAATTTTATCTACTTTTTACGATGAAAATGACTTGACGCTTCTCATCTGAGGCGGAGCTCTGGAACAACTTACCAATGACCAACAGCCTACTTCTCCAGGCTTCTTGTTCCACTTTCCTGCCGCTCTTGCGTTAGGTGGAAGACAGCTGGCCTTCCATGTTTTGGTCATAGACTTCAAGCGTTGCCACCCGCTTCTAACAGTGATCTACGTTTGAATTTCCATTTCCACGTTAGGATTGTTTGTCATTCCTTCCTGATTATACATAATACCAAACATACAATTGAAATGTATTTCTAGAAGATTTTGAGGAATTTTCCAAGGTTTAGTTGGGAACTATGTGGTGAATCTTTCAATCAATCAATCAATCAATTCCCTAATTGTTCTAAAGCTCTGACTAGTTTTATGCAGGTGAACCTGTTGTATATCAGCTTGTTCATAACCAAGTCTGCTTTAAAACCCAATCAACCAGGTTCATATTGCCCATCCATATTGCCAATAGTTTCAAAAGCATTGCCAGCAAAATTAGGAGGGAATGTAAAATGTGGTAGCCGTTATGCTCATTTAGAGCATTAAAATCGTTCTTAGACTTTGCATATCTTTAATCTCATTCTTTATCAATTGATTATATGCAATGTACAACATGGAAGTCATTAAATCGTAGCAAAAATCATTGTTAAAGTGACAGCAGTGGTAGTCAATCAGTCTTCATGCAGTAACTAACCTGACTTTCTCGTGATCGAATTTGTGGAACTGACTTATAAGGGCGAGGTGCATAAACAAGTTTCTCACTGTTGTTGGCTTCAGAGTCCAACCCAAGATCCCTTAGGCGGTTCAGCTCTGGCAACACAACTGAAGCAAGGTCCGGCCTATCCCTTTTCCTCAGCTCACAGCACTGTAAAGCGAGTTTTGCTAATGATAAAACCTCTTCAACAGGCCAATCTGGTACTGTTGGATCAAGTATTTCTGAAAAGGTTCCTTTCTCAATTGCCACCTGAACCTGGGTGGTCAGTCCCACCGGTGGCCTTGACGTTATCAGCTGTAATAGAACCACACCAAATGAATATAAATCTGATTTTACACCTAGCATTCCTGTTTGCTGATACTCTGGATCAATGTAACAAAATGTTCCCCTAGCTGCTGTTAAGCGATAATCAGTGACACTATCTGCAAAAGATGGTGGAACTAGTCGGGCCAAACCAACATCACTAATCTTACTCACGTAATTCCGGTCTAATAGAATGTTTGCAGGCTTGAGGTCACGATGTACCAGTGGCTCCGGCTTTGTTTGGTGAAGGAAAAGGAGGCCCGTGGCAATTTCAGCAGCTATTCTAAAGCGGGTTTTCCAGGGGATTGAGGGAGTGTTGTCTTTCCGGAAGAGCCGGTCTTCCAAGCTGCCATTTTCCATGTATTCGTAAACCAGACATCCATACTCAGGGCAGGCACCTATGAGCAGAACCATGTGTGGATGTCTCATGCAGCTTAGAACCTCAACCTACATTACAAATTTACTTTATTGAAATCAAAGGAAAACAGGACAGATATATTTTGCCACTAAATACTTTAAAAAAAAACGTCATACTCCTTATCATCTCCTTTATTTGGCTAGAGAAATTGCATGGATGAGGATTTGTTGACATCATTTCTGTTGGTTTTGTTGGTTGGAGGGTTTTGTAATAGCTTGGCAAGTAGTCAATGAAATTTAGAGTTTACCATTTACCATCTTAAATCATATGACTATATATATTAAAACAAGTTATACAATGAGCAATTCTATATGTTCAACATCAAATTAACATCAGAATTACCTCTTGTTGGAATTGCTTCTGTCCTTGTGATATACCTGGCCTTAAGACCTTGATGGCAACAGCTGTATGATCGAGGGTGGCTCTGAAAACAGGTCCATATCCTCCTTCACCAATCTTATGCGAGCTTGCAAAGTAACCTGTTGCAGCTTCAATCTCATCAATCGTGTATTTTCTGTACACAGCTTTGTTGTTAACCAACTGCTCTAGTGCTCTCTTCTTCGCTTCTGCCTCACGAATGGCCTTCAGTTCTGCAAGTTTTCTCTTCTGCGCCTCCATATCTGCTAAAAGTTGTGCCATCTGTGCTGCTTCCATGGCAGCCTTAGTTTTTTTCCTTTCTGCCTCTGCCAAAGCCATTGCTGCTTCTTCAGCAAGCCTGGCTTCCTCTAACTTGCGCTCTTCTGCTGCTTTCCATTCCTGAAGCATCCTTGCCTATGAACAAAAAAGGTTCAGTTACCAAGACAAATTATATATTGCAGGATTACTTTGATAAGGTCACAATGATCATCACCATCTGATCTTACTTTTTCTTTTGCAGCAACAGTTTCTTTGCAAACCGAGTTAAACATTTCCATGGACTTCTTCAATTCTTGTCTCAGTCTCCTCATCTCAGTCTCCAAGCCTCGCTGTGTAACTCATGCAAAGGATGGGAATGTCTCAATAATATGGTCTTACACTTCTAAAATAAAGAATTCTAAGAATATTTAGGTCAAAGGCAGGCATAGACATGTTGAACTGATGCACTTGGAAGACATAATACCCGAAAAGAGAAGGCATCAGTCACTGGATTCATGATAATCAGGCAGTCATGCTTTTACATATTTGTAATGTAATGCAATCTTTAATTTTAGCCATTTCAGACAACAAAAGAACACTTCTGAGTGAATATTTGGAACTAAGTCCCAGCAAATTGAAGGCAACCAATAATAGATGAGTAGGCTTTTAGGACTCCCTTGCTTCCGAGTGTAAACTTCTTTCAGAAAGTTAGCAGCCATTAAAAATGCTGTTACATCCACTAGAAACAAATCAAAAAAAGATGTAAATTTGATATTGTTATCATATTGTTGTATCATAACTTGCACCAATCAGTTATGTGACGAAGTCATTACATATTTTTATGTTTGACCTCCAACAACTATACTATCCTAACAGTTAACAGGAACACATCGGCAATGACTAACAACAGAACAGGTTCAACAATACATTGTTTCATTAGAGCATCCTTCTTTTCCTTTTCACCTATTGAGTTAAATATTGGCTATTGATATGTCAATAATCAATATGATGACCAAGATACTAGTGCTACAGTATTAATTCTAACATGCACAGATGCAGCAATTGTCGACTAGGATAGCAAGCAAACATTATTCCCCTATGAATTTATTGCAGCATACTCACTGGGGTCAGGGAATTGAGAGAACTGAAGTCCTCAGCTGTACACTCTGAATTGCTGCCAGACACATCAGTTGATCGGAAACTAGGTGGTCCTGAAAAATTACTGTTCTCGGATATGGAAATTCTATTAGGGGTTTCAGGTGTTTGACTTCCCGTTGAAGGTGTAGATGATTTAACTCCATTGTTTGTCTTCAACTTGTCACGTGGTGTCAATTTAAAGGAATCACTGATTCTACCAGAGGTTATTCTGTATTTGCTGCCTTCACGGCTTGAAACAGTTCTGTTTAATCAAGTATGAGTCAGTTGCCATGAGACATGAGACATGCAAATTGTCCGCATCATTGCTTGTCAGAGAATAAGTATATATTTGTAGAGTTTTAATTCCACAGGCTGAGATCCCAAACCAGGAATCCCATCCCAGGAAATTGAGAAGTAGATATATTAGCAAGATTCATCTTCTATTAGCTGTTTAGTCTAGTTTTACACTGTATACAACATCTTTTTCTTCAGTTAGATAGAGAAGAAGATGAGATCATTTCAAATTTTCATCCTAGTTTCTTAATCTTATTGCCTTCTCTTTAATATTGGCTGATAATTCTAACTTACAGTCATTGATGATATACATAATTCTTTCCCCTAAAAAAATATTCTCAAGCTACATTTTCCAAAAAATGAAACTCACAGAGATTCTGTTGCATCTAAATCATGGTGGAAAATCAGGCAATAGATGTCACAGCCTCTGATATATTTTACCATTCCTAGCTCATTTAGAGCCTAAGAAGTTCGGAAAATATTTGTTTTGACACTTGTTAATTAGCAGCCACCAACAAGTAATGTTGCTGTAGTTTGTTCATCTTACCTGCTAAATTCTTCAATCTTTGGGCTATCAAATGTAAGTTTAGACAGAAGCGCTTTGAGATATGGGGCCCTGTTTACAGATGCGTTGTCTTCGTCGGTCTGAGGCCTACTTGCTAATCGGGAAAATTGAACTTTTCCTTTTGATATGACATATACAGCACAGGATTCTGGTGCAGATTTGAGCAAGCTGGTTGGCACATCTGGATTTCTAAGTTTCCTGCAAAGGCAATTTCCAAAATCATGTTAGGTAAAAAGCAAACCAAACCCTTGGAGTGCTTAGTGCTGCACAACAATCCTACTATGAGAAACAATTATGTGTAGGCAAAGTGTCCAGTACTACTAATTGCAGAAAAATTTCACGACTCCTTTCTGCAAGAATCTGTTCTGTCTTCTAACCTGCAAAAAAGTTTGTTTTACATTGCTCTTTTGTTGCAAAGTTTATACTACTTGCTGAAGTGAAGAAAAACCCTGTCTCTTCACTTGTATAAATTCAAAGAACACATATCAGTTAACCAACTTCTACAGGCTCTATGTATTCTTCCCAAAATTATGGTTCCCAGAAAGCTGGTTTGACATGATTTTTGGAGGAAAATATATAACATTACCGAAAACAAAAATCACAAATTGTTGAGGTGAAACCTTCAGGTATATATATTCTTGGTACAATAATAATATGCTTGACATGGAGAGAGAGAGAGGGAGAGAGGTAAAGACCTTGTAAGAACATTCCGGCTAGAAGCACCAACAACGATATTGCCGATGTTGTTGTTATTGATGTAATCAACGAGGGCACTTGGTACATCAATGTCATGGAGGACCACCTCTTTTGATTGAATCTGAAAGATCCAGTGCTCAACAAAAATGATCATCTCCTTTTAAATGGCAAATACAATATCTACCAAGATCTTAATTTGCATAAATTTATAGCCAGGTGTACGTAGGTATTCAATGTATTGTGCTGAGCTATAAATTTATCAATAGCCCTTCCTCCTCATATGTAATTGATAACATATGCACAGTGGGAAGTCAGAACACACCAAATTTGAGCTTCAGATATATGTAAAAATAATCAAGTATACTGGCCCGAAAAGTGGTAATTTTTCAACTCTATTTTAATGGATGACTGAAGTTAAGCCATTAATGGCACAAAATGAAATCTTGCTGCTTAAACTTTGTCTAGAGAGACACATATATATTAGCATCTTTCTGCATAACAGGCTACATTCCGGGCATATGAGAAGAGAGTTCATATTCTTTTATGCAAGGTGGCCTTGCATTGCCCATTTAGCTTTCACCTGGGCAACTAAACCCAATGCCAATGACAAGAGAAAACTTTTTTGTTAAAGTAAATGGTCATAGCAGTCAATTAGCTGATGACTTACCCCTTTTCGAGCACAGTATCCTCGGTAAGGGAGAAAGAATTGTTGCAACTCAGCTTCAGTCGGTGGCCGACCTTGCTTAGGGACAGCTTCAAAATCCTCTGTGAAAACCAAACGAGCCCAAGTCAAATACAACAAGAAACGGAGGTAATTAATGAAAATGCCCATGATACTGCCTATGCTGCTATTCATTGCTATGACCGTTCTACAGTCTAAAGAAAATGAGATGAGTTGCATTGACAGAAATTATCAGCACAAAGTCCTTTAAACCTTACATCAGCAAAATTTGTCAGAAGTGATGCTTAACTGTAATTGCAAAAGACTAAAGGGAACCTGATTCAATCTATTATTCACCAAAACTAAAGATCAGAAATGTTTTCATAAATATGTTAGAGTCAAGCATAAGGCTAAAACCATTCTTTTTTTTTTTTTTAATTTGAGCCATTCACAGTTTCATATTCATTTAAAATGTATATCATTATTTTGCATGCAAGCCAATTAAACATGATCATGAACTCATGATGAAAGAGAGAGATACCTACGCGGATGCAAGCTCTGGCTTCGAACGTGAACGAGGATGCATTGCGAGCCGGCGTTGTTGTTCAACAGGTTATCCACCGCCCATTTTACAGCAAGTTGACTATTCCGGTCCCTGTCAATGGCAACGGCTGTGATAGAAGGGATCTCTTCCATTGTCAAAGTTGCTGATCCTGAGAATGCCATGCCAAAAATTACTGACCCTTGTCCTTTATATGTCCTCCTTAATCAATGTGGCTTAGATGGTACCAGGACGAGGGGTAGGTTTTGTTCTAGGTTTTATGTTATCGTCTTCAATATCTATTGCAATACTACCCCTTCCTGTTACTATCACCACCACCACCACCACCACACCCAGCCGGATCAGGCCTGCGTTAGGGCTATTTGCAAATAGAGGAAGAAGGAATGGAACAAGACAAAATATATCCTCCTTTGATCTTGTTTGTTAACTTTTTACTAATTTTAGCTAGGGATGCTACCATGATTACAGGAAACAAAAACAATATTTTGCCAACTAAGATATATACATATGTACTTCCTCCTCTCTTCCTTTTTCTTTGTAGCTACTAAGGATTGGACTGTTGGGAATTGGTTCTGGGAGTTTTTGAACCAGAAAATTGGGTAAATGAATCATTCTTTTGTTTTTTCCATTAGTTTTGAAACAAATGGAACCATGCAACAATCTTTCTTTATCTATGCTAACTTCTAAGACACAGATTTATTTATTTTTCTTCTGTTTGGTTGTCGACAACCTTGTCATTTTCCTTTTTCAGTAAATACCAAAACACAATATTGATCATAATGTTTGTTTCTTACAATAACACTGGTATTTAACCACCCGCAACAGGTCACAATGGTTTATCCCTTAAAACAGTGTGAAGTTTGGACATTGGTAAGCTGGACCCAAGGGAGCCCAAACCTTGCCTTCGCATGCACGTCTGGCTCGAGCCAGTCTCGTTTCCATCACAGTGGCTTCAGGCTTGAGCCAGATGTATTTGGGCTCCCTTGGGTCCTGCTTTCCAATGTCCAAACTTCAAACTGCTGTAATAGTAAATGGATAAGCTTCCAAACGCAAAAAGGGTTACCCTTTGAAGATTTTATTTTGCAATTTATTAAAAGGATTACTGATTTGTGGGGACCATATAATGCCACGTGCATTGTTTGATAATATATTTTGTTGCAATCACACTATTGGCCTGTTTCCGACTTATCCAGACTAACTCCACGCCCCAAAGCCAATATTTCCTCCCCATTTTTGCTTTGAAATCTTAACATCGAATTTTATTTAGCTAAAAAATTATTATTTTAAACTGTGCTAACATAATCTGTGTTATGTAGTACTAAAAGATATTTAAAGTCTCTATATATGTTTCATCTCATTATTTATTTATTTTTTTAACAACAAAAAGTAAAATTATTACTTTTTCCACATTTTAAAATTATTTTTCATTTTTTTATTTTTTAACATTAAAAGCTATGTAACATCAACTTCGCAAAAGAAATTTAAATTTTAATATTAGATAAATTAAATTCAAACTTTTTTAACTCGGTGAAAATAATTAAAGGAACAAGCAATTTGAAATGGGAGAAGAATAAAAATTTTGCAGCCTAATAAATAGTTAAAGTTTATCTAGTAATTTATAATTAATTTTTTGTGGATTAGATAAGATAATGTTGAAAAGAAAATAAAAAATAAATAGAAGGAGTAAATGCGCATTATGTTTATCCACTTTTAATCCAATGATGGATACATTTGACTTAACATTATCGAATATGGAGAAAAAGGTAAATGCCTATATATTCCATAACACATAAAGAGGAAGAAATGCAAACATCCCATCTGCTTGGAGAAATGGATGCTACTTATTAAAAGGAAAAACAATATTACAACAAATAATTTAAACATTTAATTTTAACGACTTATATATATATATATAATATAGATAAAGATTTGTTATTAAAATTTTAATAATTATTTTTATCATTTTATGTTATATCATGCGATGTTAATATAATATAGTGACATATTATAATAAATGATGATGTGATATATTAATAATTATATAATATTTTTTATTTTTTATATTTATATTAAGTTAATGATATATGAATGTACAATGATAAATAATATTTTGATTGATAATAATTAGTTAATTGTTAATTATAAAAATTTATTTGATTTAAAATAAAAATATGATATAATTGAATGTAATTAAAAATTAAATATTATTTTAAATAATTTAATTTTTTTAAAATATTATTTCAAAAACAAAATACTTTAAATCAATGTTAGAGGGTTGAAACTTTGACCTTAAAATAACGGGAGAAATCGATACAATGTATGAAATGAGCATAGAGTTATTTTGTATTAAAATACAATGAAATATTTCTTATTAAATTCATTTATAAGATTAAAAATTTTTATAGCCAGTTAAAAGGAATTTTTTTTACCGAAACAGATAATAAATAAATAAATAAAAAGGAGTGTTGTCATTTTACCTATACGGAAGTAAGATCTAAGGCAAAAAAATTTAACCAGTAGGATCACATGGGTACAAAGACATTGTTGGAATGGGTATGACTTTTCAGAGCAGGGGACACGTGTCTCTCCTCAAAGTTTGCCTCATGAAAAATACATGAGTAGTTGTCTTCATGTAAGCACTGTCCTAAGCATTTTCCGTCTTAAAAGCATTCAATGATGAAAGATAATTATATGTATACGTGTCTCTTGAAGGAGTGCATGGTAAAAAAAAAGCCATTTCCCGCACACATATTCTTTCTTTTTCTTTTCTTTTCTTTTCTTTTCCTTGTCTATCTTTCTCTTTCTCTCTCTCTCTCACCTAAGCCTCACAAGCCCAGAAACATTGAAAAAATCTAGGGAAAAAAAAAACGGAGGCTTCTTCCTTTCACCATTTTTTTCTTAATTCTTTGAGGCCCCACAGTCTCTTCATTTACTACTGGTAAGCATCCTTTTAATCATTTCTTGAATTATATTTGATATCTTTCCATTGATTTTTGGGGCTCAAGATCAACTTTTTAGCATGTTTCCAGATGGTTTTAATAGTTTCTTTATAGAGATATGTAATTCTAGTAGCTTGTTATTGTTGCTGTAGTTATGTGGGGTTGGTGTGTTTGTTGGAAGGAAGGAGAAGGAAAGTGAAAGAGACCCTTGTTTAAGAAAAGGCTGAGATAGGTTGCCTTAGATCCAGGAAACTCAATTTGTGTGTGGCAAAAAGTTTACCTTTTTAGGGTTTCCCTGTGATTATCTGGGTTTGTTTGTGCTTTATCCTAGGTTCTTTCTCATGACACCTTTTGCTTTCTCTTCTTTGAGTTTATATGGATAAAGCCTTGAATTTGGTGTTTCCATACGTGCTTTTTATGTGTTAAAAGGGTAGGTGGTGTGGATAGGATTTAATTGCCTTGATTGGTTCTTTCTCAAAAGGTGAAGAATTTGATAAGATGTGGACTATTGGAGGAACTCAGTTTATTTGTGACCTGGCTTGAATTTCATTAATTACAAGGGTTGATCCGTTGTGCTCCTTCACCAGATCTTATTATCCTATGTTCATTCTGCTTGCGTTTAACTCGTGCCCCTCTTAAAGTTTTAATCTTGGTGGTTTACTATTTGTTTGCTCTATATATTTGTATGAGAGGATTGGTGCAGTCATTGAGATTCATTGCAATGGAGAAGGTGTGGATAGAACCTACTGGCTTGATCCCAAGTTTGTTGCTGGAAGGAGATAATTAAGATGAATATTGGTAAATTGTGTCAATATTTTAGAGATTTGAGTGGTAACTGTTTGTGGCATAGAGTGGGGAATTGATGGAAGAGATGTCTCCAGCAGTTGCAGTAACGCTTAGTTTAGCTAATTCTATGTGTGAGAACTCTGGAATTGCAACCCATGTGGAAATAACGCGGATCAAGCTTGTAACTGATGCAGCAAACTTGTTGTCTGATCCTGCAAAGGTCGTGTCTCAGGAATCTATTCCTAGTAGCAATGGAGATTCTGGAGTTGGGAAGAATGAAGGTAACCTGGCGACAATGTCAGCATCAGAAGAGGGTGGTGGGGAAGGAGCTAATTTCTTGAAGATATTACCAGAGAATGGAAATCGATCAATTGCTGCTAGTGAATCCCCGACTCAGGAAAGTGAGGAAGATGAAATTTTGTCAGTGGACACTAATGGAATTATCAATGAGGGGTTGCTGGTTTTAAATGCAGGGTCTGATATAAGCTTGCCTAATGCAGAAATTGAAAGTGGTCGAATTCTTGCCAAGGCTATTATTTTGGGAGAGTCAAGCATTGAGCAGGTGCCTACAGCTGAAGTTCTTCTCACAACTGTGAGTCCAGATACAAAGAATTCTAATGAGTTTGATTTAAAGGCCTCTGAAGTGGTCATTCAGCTACCTAGTGAAAAGAATCTCAATAGAGGTAGCCGGAGTGTTTTTGAGTTGGATTGTATACCTCTTTGGGGTTCTGTGTCTATTATTGGAAAAAGAACAGAAATGGAGGATGCTGTTGCAGCTGTGCCTCGGTTTATAAAGATTCCTATCAAAATGCTGATTGGTGATCGTGTAATTGATGGAATCAGTCAAAGTCTGACAGACCTTACTGGACATTTTTTTGGTGTTTATGATGGCCATGGTGGCTCCCAGGTACAACATTCTTTATAAAAACCTTTACATTTTAACTCCACTTTAAGAAATTTTGAAGATTCCTGAATTTAATGGTAGGCTGTTAAGTATCTTTTACATGGCTGTATCTTTTATCTTTTTTAGTGCAACAATTGCAGACACTTCTTGATACCATGTACTTGTAGTTACTTGAGTAATACTCTGCAACTTTGAGCAAATTTGGACTGCATAGTGTGACATTTTTGTTTTTGTGAAACTGGCCTTGCTACCATAAGTGATTCTGTTCTTTTCCTTGCTTGTTCACTACATATTTTGATCATTTAAAATTGTTTTAATGGTGAATGGTTCCAAAGAGGTTAATACTTTAGCATGCCTTATCGGGATCTCATGCAGGTGGCAAATTATTGTCGTGACCGTATTCATGTGGCTTTAGCTGAAGAGATTGGAAACATTAAAGACAATTTATGTGATGGCACTAGTATGGAGAGTAGACAGGTGCGGTGGGAGAAGACCTTTACTAGTTGCTTTTTAAAGGTTGATGATGAAATTGGAGGAAATGTTAACAGAGGCATGATTGGAGGCTATGAAGATGCATATGATGCCAGTTTTGAGCCTGTTGCCCCTGAAACTGTTGGGTCAACAGCTGTGGTGGCCTTGGTTTGTTCATCACATATTGTTGTTGCAAACTGTGGTGATTCAAGAGCTGTCTTATGCCGTGGCAAAGAAGCCATGGCA